CAGCACACTTTACTCTTTCCAACCCAATCGCTAACCGATTAGTTTCTTCGCTGTTCAGGAGTAGTTGAGGTCGATCGCTCTCCACTGGAAGCACAACAGAATAGACTTTGGACGAGTCGTGCCGTGGAGCTACGCGGGATGCGCCGAAGCTTCTGACTCTATCCAGGCTATCGCCAATTACCGATACCGACAACACGGTAGCCTCGTACCCATACCACGATGTGCAGCCTTGCCCCGTAACTCCTTCTTATCGCAAGGATCCCGTCGTGCTCCCGCCAATGGCCTCGTGGTAGCTCATCCGCGCCATCCCGCTCATTACATTTTCCATCGCACCTTCTCTATCAAGGTCAGCGAATCCAGCGCCCTCGGCTCTGCTTCCGATCGGCTTCATACATAGTAATACCGCGCAATCAGGGTTCGCAAACGTGATCGCCCCCGTGGCCGCAGGCCGTCAGAGGAGCTACGCAGACCCAACAGCTTGGCCAAACCCTTGCGCTGGTCGATCATAACATGAGCTTGTGCACTGAGACGACATACCTGCAAACCTAGTCGAAAATCGCGTTATGCACATTGATTACTCTAATTCTTCCGGATTGTTGACCTAGACGACATGGGATCTCGACTCAATACTACAGTACTGCGCCTCAGATAGTCTCGTTCATAGTGCTTCAATATAGCACTATGTACTCAAACATGCGTCAATCACACATCTGCAACACCGTTTTGTACGGCGTCGCTTAACCGGCTAAGAGCGCACACAGGCACATGCAGCATGGAGAAACGCTAGATGAGCTCATTTGTTTCAATGGGAGGCACAGTAAGCACGCTGCAGGTACAGTTCGGAAACTTTTCATCGAACACTTATGCATTGACTATCTGAAAGTGTTCCCTAACATCTACTTGCCTGCTACGCCGGCACCCAGCCGTCGACACGGAGTCTGCCCTTCTACTCAAGAAATATCTATGAAGGCACCGCAACGACCTGGAACTGGTAGTTGCAAAGCGGCTTCGATTTCGTCACCTCAATACTTCCATACCCGCCTCCCACCATGGTGCTTCCATCCCAAACCTCCAACTGCACCTTACCTGGGACCAACGTCTCCAGGCCGGTGAACTTGAACTTGTTGAATCCTGGCTTGAGTTTCTGCGTTTGGTTCAGCTTCTTTCCGCCAACGTTGACAACAGCGATGAGATTCGTCTGGCCTTTGGCGACGAGTAGAACGCCAGACACGGCATCTTCAGCTGCCTTTTTTATGTCTGCGGATGGCGGCACCTCGTCGTTGGTGCATTTCCCATCGACGGTAAGAGTGTGGTGCCAGAAAGTGCCTTGGACAGGTTTGCCATTCGTGGGATACATGTTAGCTGTTGTACGATCGCCTTGCTTCCACGCAGCGATGAACGGTTTCAGAATCTGCCAGTATCCAGTATGGTCGTACCCTGTTATGACCTTCGTTGTATTTTCGTTCAGTGGCGTCGAGTGCAGGTGTCCCATGTAATGGCCCTCGCCGGCATCGTTCCAGGTCTGAAGCTGCACCATATCAGGTTGGACACTGAGGATCTGACCGAACCGGTTCTCGAGGTTGTCTTCGCCGCGACGGTACCAGTTCTGCTTCCAGTCCAAATGCTTCCATTGATAAGGTGAGATGCCCATCATGAACAGCTTCTTGGCTTTGTTGGCGGCGTCATTGAATACACGGTCTGTCGCGTCGGATACGGCGACTTTGCCTTCGTTTGTCGCAGGCCATGAGTTCCAATTGAACACACCGTCGATTGCGCCACGATCAGCGAAGAAGTTCGTGGTAGGGTTGTAGATCTCGGAGAAGCCAGGGACGACGAGGACGTTGCCCACCTTTCCTTTGAACTTGTTCCAATCGTCGTTGGAAATGGTCTCGCCACCAAATGTCGATAGGACAGGCTTGGTCTTGCCATCGGAAGGGTCCGTCATTAGAAGATAGGAAGGACGGCCCTTGTGATCGTTGAAGTACTGGGCGTAGTTCGTAGGTTTCCCCAATAAGCCTGGGTGGTGATCCATGGAAAAGAAAAGGCTGAAACCGCCAATATAGTCTGCGTGATCGAACATGTATTTTACAGTCTGGTTGGACCAAGGCGCGAACTGATCTGTTCATTGTTAGCCCGGGTTTCGATTGAAGTTTTGTGGATGAAAATCACTCACCGAAGTTGAGCGCGAAGCCGTTCAGACCAAGCTCCCTCGCTTCCTCAATGTCCTGCACAACCTCATCGAGATCGAGTTGACCGACCATGTAATGGGCGACACTGTATGGGAGCATCAGTATACGCTGATTTCTACGAGTAGGTAGACTTACATCGGCCTGTCAATGAGCATCCCCCGCGGTGCAACGCGGCCAGCAACAGCGCTGGCCAAAAGGCCAACAACAAAAGTAGGAACAAAGCGCATACTGAAGAAACACTCGAGTCGTGCACGAATGTTAAGCCAGCGATGTGGTTGATGAGCGACAATGCAGCCGCTCCCGTCGTCTTTATAATTCTCGAGTGCTGAGTGATGTTAGGCTTTTCGACCGGCAACCTGCGTAAGGCGACCGACTACACAGCCCGTGGCTGCTGGCAGCCTCGCCGTTCAGACTTGCAAACGGCACGAGATGAAAACTAGGCCTCCTGGCAGGGATGGTTACACTGATGGTAGTAGTTTTAGCCCCGCCGTCTTTTCCACTTTACCCGTATCCACACACACACACACACGCATACTTTTTGCGCAAGATGTCTTTCCTACTCTTGAATCTGTATATCATGGCTCCATGGTTGTGCGGAAATTTCTCCTTCCGTCTTGAAGTTCAGATGGCAATGGGATCGAGTAAGCCGACGTTCCTGTGGTAATTGCAACGCGAATGCGAAACAATGACAAGGACCGTCCCGCGCATGTCCGCAACGCCACAGGACGATTAGGGCCACCAGCTGTGGACCTGCAAGGCAGTATCGGTTTTTAGGAGCTGCCGTGTTTAGATCATCGAGACTGTTAGCCTCTGTTCTAGAATAACGCATCCACTGCATTTCTACTCGGTGTTTTGCGCGACGGGCCGTGATTGTGGATGATGTGTGGATGCAGAGGTGTTTGAAACCAATCGGCTGCTAGTGCTGGGCATCATTGTTCCTCGGTCTCCCGATTTCTGCTGCACTACGGTCCGCTTTCACGATGGGGGCCAGTGGAATGATCAGGAATCAGATCATAATGCCGCGTTTTTGCATGCTGGTGGGTTGATGTGATGCATGGAATGTGGGCATCACTTAAGCGATTGTCCGAGTACGGGTGTATGATGCGACTTTACCTCGGCGAGCACCAGTACCTACTGTAGGTACTATCGGTTATCAGGCACCTCTTTTGGATGTTTTTATCCACCTATTGAGCTGTTGCGGTAGTCGCGACCTAGCCGCTGTATTACTACAAACTACGTCTTAGGGCCGGACAGGTCGGCGAGTATGAGCCTCGGTCACTGAGATGTGGAACGAGTGAGCTGTCGTGACGCAAGTTCTTCTGTTGACGGTGCATCTCGCTCGTGTTGTGACGCACAACGCCAGAACGACGGGTACTGGAACTATGACATGAGGAGACGTCAAATTGGAGAAATCAGATATCGCTTGGCTAAACCGGGAATAGACGTATATCGCGTTCTTTCACCTGGTGCCCTTCGTCCAACATCAACCTTTCCGTTCCGTCCTTCCCATAAGTCCTATCCTGTCTCCTCTTCCCAGTCTACTGCTTATCGCCCCTCTCACCCAGTCCCTCTTTCCCTCCTTGCACCTTTGTCTCGCCCCCGATTCCCGTCGTTCGAGTCGGCTGCGCCTGGTGGTCTGGCTGCTTCGCCGGATGGTCGTCGCCGGTCTTGTGCTCGTCAGGCGACGCACTCGATTGCTGGTCGGTGTTTTGCGTGTCTGAACGCATCTTGGCGTTTGGTGCGGCCGAGGAATTTTCAGAAGGGTCTGGGAGGTTGGAGGCAGGATTGGGCGTGTCCATCAGCTTTGCATAGCTGGGTGTAGTGGTGAAGGCGCGGAGTTGAGATACGACAGGGCGCTGGAGCGCGCGGAGGCGGAGGCTGATAGACGACATGTTTGGTAGATGATCGTATGCTGCGTGATATACTGGTTCAGCGCGTTCAATTGTGTATTAGGTGGATTCGTAAAGCTGAGTGGTCTCCAGAAAGTCGTGTTGGAATGGTGGTGAAGCATGACGAGTGTTGTGGGTTCAATCGTTGCATGAAGATGTGATGTCATCGTGACCGCTTCGGCAGTGGCGAAGATCCATAATTCCCGTAAGAGGTCGTGGTTTTATGATTTCGAGTTCTGTGATATAGCTCTGTGCATCGAACATATGCAGGACCGTGATTGATGAACTGACGCGAACAAGACGCGTCCCAACGCCAGCCAGCCCTCAAGGTGTGCTAGCTACACGTGCTACGTGCATTAGCGCCGCCTGACTGTGCCGCATCGGGTTGCGCGCGCCAACACTCTCAGCACTTGGGATGGAGCAGAGCCTCCCAACATTCAACGAAATGTTCAAGAAAGCGTTTTGGAAACGAAAAGAACGACTAATCACTGCATCGCTTTCATCTGTCGCAAACAAAATGCCAGACTTTGTGCTTTTCGGAGACTCGCTCACCCAATGGAGCTTTAGCGAGGAAACGCAAGGCTTCGGGTTGTTTCTTAGGCAACAGTATCAGCACAAGGTACGGATCGTCAACGAAGGTAATGCGAATGAGTTTCTCCCACCATCTTTCACCCCGCATTTCGCGTAGACGCTTTCTCGTTTATCCTTTTCAAACTGAGTGATCAGGCGAGCTGCAAACATGGCTAAGATTGTCTTGTTTGGCGCATCCATGACCGAGTGGAGTTTCAAAGAGAAGACGCAGGGGATTGGATGGTTTCTTGAGAATAAGTACCTAGGGAAGGCAAGGGTCGTGAATGAAGGTACTACAGCATGATGTGCCAACGCGTGTAGTGGGAACAACAACATCGAAACCGTAGATCCGATGCTGACAGGCACGATAGGCAAAGCAGGGTACACATCCCAATTAATATTGACGGTCGGCGCACTCACCAACTACGCAGTTACACGTCAACCCGTCTTAAAGAAGACTTTTCCCGCATAATCAGCAGCGCAACAGCCCCAGAGGCAGCACCAACCCTCCTCTTCACCATCTTCCTCGGTGCAAACGACGCCTGCTTCATCGGAGAGAAGGAGTATGTTCCCTGGCCCACCTTTTCAGCAAACATACGGGAGTTCCTCGACACCATCCTCACGGAGCAGGCTATGGAGAACACAAAGATAGTTCTGATCACGCCCCCACCCATCAATGGGTCTGTGGTAGATACTGGCGAAAGCAGGTCTGCAAGAGAAATACAGGAGATCAATGAGTCACGAAAGGAAGGACCAAGGTACAAGACTTACATGAGTAAGAAGAGGTATGCAGATGGGCTTATGCAGATCGCGAAAGAGTACGAAGAGACGGGCAGAGTTGTTGGCCTCAACTACTGGCAGCACATGGTGGATGCAGTCATTGCAGAAGAAGGATGGGAGTACGATCAGGAAGTGCCACCGGGATGCGGCCTATTGGGCGCAAAGACGTTCCCAGCGGGCTGGTTTACGGACGGGCTGCATCTCAATGTCAAGGGATACGGAGTGCTGAACAAGGAACTGTACGAGCTGGTGACGGCAAAGTGGCCAGAGTTAGCAGCCGAGAAGTTGTAAAGTCTTCCTTTGGTTGTGCATTTGTTTTGCTAGGTATCTGATCTGCCGCTCAAACCACGTTCAACCTCTGTTCAAAGTGTTACCCGAGCCTTTGGGATTCGCCTCTACATACTCATCCCACGCTCGCTGCTTCATCGTCTCTTCGTCCGCGGCGACAAGATCGTCCTCGTTCGGTTCAGCCTGGATCTCAGACTGCGGGCCTCCACCCTCGATCATGCCACCCCGGCGCTTCTCTTCTTCTAGATACTCGTCGATAGTCATAGTTGGCAGGCTGTGATCCGGACGGAACACGTTCTTCTTCAGGGTTTGGCGGCTGTCCAATAGCGTAAAGGGCCTCATGGGTTTGCCGTCGCCGCTCAAGATGGGGCCGGAATATCTCAGGCCGCCATACTGACCATCGAGGCGTTCAGAGTATCCGTCTTTATCTCTGCCGTCTTGTCGGCTGTCTGGCGCTTGCTGTTCCTGTCCCTGTGGGGGCGCGGGTGGGGCTAGCGAGATGATGTGCAGTTCTTGAGCCATTGACTCCAATGAAGCGAAAGTCTGATGCACCATGAACGCCAAGTTGGTCAAATGCAACTCTCGTACCACTTGCTCATCCTGCTCGGCAAGTTTGGGATTTTGTCGCAGATACTGTTGTTGCGGGCCTTAGCTCTAGGTTCGACCCTTAAAAGCAAAGTTAGTGTGACACGTACCTCGAGTTTTCGCTTCAATTCCTTCTCTTCCCTGAATCGGGAAATCTTCGCGTCCCGTCTCGCCGCGGCATCCCGCGTGTTGGCGGTAGAGAAGTTGTTCTTATCTTCCGCGTAGACTTCGAAGAGTTTCGCATCTGCCTTGCCAAGCACATCATAGGAATCTAAGAGCTTGAGAAATCGCTCATAGTGTCCCCGTGCCCGCAGTAGGTTCTGCTTCCGTAAGGCTACGTCGGTATTGAAGATCTTCTGTACGAGTTCTGCCAAGTGGTAGTTTATCGCCATGTATCTAGAAGGGTAAGCGAGGACCCATGTGCACGGTATCTTCCGGTTGTATCATAACACGTACTGTAGATCAGACGATGATATGTCTTCCAGGGTCTCATTTGGACTGAAAAGCGACACCTGCTCGGATATTTTCAGGCATTCTTCGTACGTGGCGATTGTCGCGCTAAGGTTTTCCTGGTAGGTCGGACTGTTTGCTTCGTACGACGAAGAGAGCTCTTCGCGCGCCCTCTCCGCCTTTGAGAATAGACCTCGTAGACTCTGTGGCTCGTTCGTCATGGTAGTGGCGTTTGAGCGGAAAATTGTCGTGATGTTGAGGAAATGGCAGTGGGGACACACGTGAGAGCGTGAGCAGATGCTGATGAGTCAGCATTGCCCCTTCCCAGTTCGCGTACCCCGCTATCGCCGCCAACACACCGCGTCTGTGAAAGCGGTAACACCACAGCGACAAACGCCTGGTATGCTGCTGCGAAATATCTCCGGCATGTTCAAACGGCTGCGGCTGTTTGATTGGGTCAGCACGAGCGGCTTCGGCTGAGCATGCGGCGTCGGGTACCTACACTGTTTGTTTGCTCTCTTGCCCGAAGCAAGACGCGCGACAGTTGCGCAAATACCAGTAACGCGCTCTTGCCCTCGATTTTCAATCACACTCACCATAGGCTTTACCTCTCCAGACCTGTGATAAGCTTCGACTGCACCCACAGCATTGCGCCACGACAAACATGACTTGGATAATATACGAGAAGGACGAACACTACCACTCCTTCGACGACTCGTCCTCGTCTTCCGATTCTGACATTGAAGAGACCGCTACCAAAGATGAGAGCCAGCGAGGCTCAGATGAAGACCCAGATGGCGATGATGACACCGCACGTACGCATGGGCCGAAGACCACATCGGAGAGGCGCAGAGCGCAGAATGACGTCCTGAAGGCCTTTGCTGCTAACATCAGCTCTCACTTGACACAGAAGGAAGTTGATGATGCTGCTGCAAAGACCGCCAACGAAGAGCAGCTGTCGATCCGCGACATACTCGCCAGACAAGAGGGCACAGTCCGCATCACGAACCCTCGCGACTATCAGACTGAACTGTTTCAGAGGGCCAAGAGTGAGAACGTAATAGCGGTCTTGGACACTGGCTCCGGCAAGACTCACATCGCAACTCTACTTCTACAGCATGTTCTTAATGACGAGCTCGAACGCCGGGCCGCAGGCGGCATCCACAAGATCGCCTTCTTTCTAGTCGACTCGGTCAACCTGGTCTTCCAACAAGCAAATGTCTTGCGTTGCGGCCTTGATCAAAAAGTGGAGGGCATATGCGGCGCCATGGGCGCATCGCTTTGGTCTAAAGCGACTTGGCAAAGCCATTACGAGAAGAACATGGTAATTGTATGTACAGCCGAGGTCCTTGTTCAGTGTATGATGCACTCCTTCATTACCATGGCTCAGATCAACCTCCTCATCTTCGACGAGGCTCATCATGCCAAGAACAATCATCCTTACGCTCGCTTGATGAAGGACTACTACGTACACGGACTGGACCCCTCCCATCGACCTCGGATCTTTGGCATGACAGCTTCTCCGATTGACACAAAAGGACTGTCGGTCGATCATATCAAAGAAGTTGCCAATGACCTCGAGAAACTACTTCATTCCAAGATCGTCACTACTTCGGAGGGTGCTCTCGCTTCGAACAGTATCAGCAGGCCTACCGAGGAGATCGCAGTGTATGCACGGCTACAAGACCAATTTGAGACGCCTCTGCACCAAGAGATAAAAGCAAAGTATGGGGACATACCGGCATTCAAGAAACTATTCTTGGCCTCCAAGCGCTACGGTTCCGAGCTCGGACGCTGGGCGTCTGACATGTATTGGTCTTTTGCTTTCGCTGACGAGCAGAGCCGCAAGCTCGAAGATCGCGAGCACTTGAAGCATAACAAGGCTAAGCGAGATGACGCCGCGCAGGAGTGGGACGCCCAGTCCAAGCGCTTACAGGAAGCGGCCACATTCGTACAACAGTTCGATTTCGGTTTGTGTACCTTGAGCGACACAGATTTGAGTTCCAAAGTTCTGAAACTTCACCACTGGCTCCAGCTATACTACGAACGCGGCGATGAAGCACGTTGTATCGTCTTCGTTGAGCAACGGCAAACAGCTCGGCTGCTTCAACTCATCTTTTCCCAGATCGGTGGACCGAACCTCCGCTGTAACGTGCTCGTCGGTGTCAACAATCGTGCTGGAGAGCACAACATCTCTTTACGGAACCAGATCCTTACGGTGGCCAAGTTTCGTCGCGGCGAACTCAACTGTCTGTTTGCTACATCTGTGGCGGAAGAAGGCCTTGATATCCCTCAATGCAACCTTGTCGTGCGGTTCGACCTCTATCGCACCATGATAGCGTACGTACAGTCTCGGGGCCGAGCACGGCACAGGAACTCGAAGTATCTCCATATGATTGAGCAGGGCAACGATGACCATCGCAGCCGGGTTTTCGACGTCAAGTTCGAGGAAGGTATCATGAGGAAGTTCTGCAAAGCTCTTCCCCAAGATCGTCAGATCGGCGGAGGCGAGGTTGACATGTTGTCGTTCGAAGACAAGATGTATCCAAGCTTTGTTACAAAGTCTGGTGCAAAGCTCACATATCGCTCGAGCTTATCAATCCTCAATCACTTCGTAGCGACGCTACCCGGCCCCGACAGACAGACCATGCTCCAGCCAACCTATGTTATCAATCCCGAGGTCAACTATGATGCTCAGGATTCTCAGCGGCGAGGGTTTGTTTGCGAGGTAATGTTACCGGAACATGCACCGGTGGTCTCGGTAACTGGCGACGTTCAAAGCAGGAAAACTATCGCAAAATGCTCTGCCGCTTACAAAGCATGCCTCATGCTTCACACCAAAGGCTATATGGATGACAACCTCCTCCCAACAACATGCAAAAGCTTGCCAGCTGGGAGAAATGCACTGCTAGCGCTTAGCGAAAAGAAGAAGGGTATGTACTCTATGTTGATCAAGCCAAATTTCTGGAAGGTGGATCGCGGAGTCGTCCCTACGCTTCTATACCTGACCGTCATCGACCTTGACGCTGGCTTAGACCGACCTCATCAGCCTATGGGTCTCCTCACTCGCATTCCATTCCCGCAGATGCCGCATTTTCCTATCTACCTCACGGATGGAAGGCCCTCCAATGTCGTATCCAAATCCGTCTCGACTCCGCTGCCTGTATCGCCCGAGACGATAGAAGCTCTCACGATCTTTACTCTACGCATATACGAGGATATCTACAACAAGGTGTACGAGGAAGACGCCCAGAAGATATCTTATTGGGTTGTTCCAGTAACTCCGAGCCATGTGTCTTCTGTTTCGTCTGTTACCTCTCTCGATCAAATCCTAGACGTGGAGCAAATTCGCAAAGTCTGCAAAGAGCCCACTTGGAAGTGGACGCCCGAGACCAAGTCTGAGGATTTGCTAGATCGTTACTTCGTAGATCCAATGAATGGAGGTCGGCGCTACTACTCCAACGACCTCGCAACCCATCTCAAGCCACAAGATCCGCCTCCTAAAGGTCTACCTCGCAGTGGACAAAAGTTCATGGCCACTATTCTGGACTACAGCGACAGCCGGTGGGCAAAGAGTAGAGACATGTCAAAGTGGCACGCCTCGCAGCCCGTTCTTGAGGTGGAAAAGATTCCTTTCCGCCGGAACCATCTTGCATGCGTCGAGGATAAAGAGAAGGGTGAGTTCGATGACTTGAAGACTTACATCTGTCCAGAGCCTCTTCACGTCTCTAATGTAAGAATCCCGTCGGCTTGTGCGTATGAAAACATTGCTAACAGCACAGCTTTCGATACGATTTGTGGTCATGTGCTACGTATTACCTGCTCTCATTCATCGCTTTGAGAGTTATCTCATTGCTCTGGACGCCTGCAAAGTTCTCGGTCTCAACGTCAGCCCTGCGCTTGCTTTGGAAGCTCTTACTAAAGACTCCGACAACTCCGAGGAGCACAGCGAAGAAAAGATCAACTTC